GGCACGGAACCCCACAAATCCCCGTCACTACCGCACACGCACCGAAAGTAATTTGGGAATGGTGCATCAAATTTTAAGCGGTAGATGCAAGCGCTCGATCACCATTCCCGACTTCCGACCTCCATGCCAACCGCCAACGTCAGTAATTTATTGTCGCAATTTCATTATATAAATAAATTTGCTTTATATAAATGCGCTTGTTTAATTACGGGTCATTTGTAATTTAAATTTTTATCTGTCGTGTGAAAGATTCAAAGGGGATACGACGTCTTTTTATATTGGAGACTGCAATGAAATTATAGAGGCAAACAATGTTAGCGGTAACATTGTTTTATTTCGTCATGTGAGATGTACATAATCTTTTTTTTTTTTTTAAGAAAAATAATAATCCTGTGGAACATATTGCTCGTTTAAAACGCGAAAAAAGAAACGCGCGTGAACGCGAAATAATTAGGCAGTTGTCGTAATCTCGAGCCACTCTAATTTAGATCGGGCAAATTATACACTAGTACATTCATATCTCGCGACGTAAAAACGCGGCAGTGAAGAGCGGTAATTTCGAGATTTACGCGCTGATTTCTGAGTGTGTCGAGATAAAAATGTAGCGGGCCGGCAAAAACGTAATTAACGTAGTTACGACGGCGTCGCGACACGAGCTGAAATCGTCGTCGGTCTACGTTGTAGATCGCGCGAGAAAATAATGAGTCGCGCGAATGTGCAGCCCGAGATCGAGCGCTCGGAGAAACGGAATATGCCGGGAGCGCGGCGATAAAACCTGCTAATGGCAATATCCAGATTGTTAGCCAGTGAGGAAAGAGACGGAATAACCGGAGGATTCCGCGATTAAGCTACGCGAAGCGTGAAAATCATTCTACCTCTTTATCGCACGAGAAACGTAACGCGCGTGTTTGATAAAATACACGTAGATATGCATACATCGGCCCAACATTGGGATGTATGACGTAAATAGCGCTCGTGTTGATTTACCATTTAACGTTGGCGGCGGTGATAACATTAATTATCATTACCCTCATTCCGAGAGGTGTATAACGGGCGGAGTATTTGAAATATGTCGCGGTTCAATAGTTCCTGAATAGGGACAGTTGAAGTTGATTATCCACGATCTACCACTCTTGCGAGAATTGGAGCGCGTGTCCCGCAGAACGTGGGTAACGTTTTATTCGACCTATTCTGCAATCCCCAAGGTTCTTAAGCGCGCTCAGTCAGACGACGGATTCTCTCAACGTACGTTTGACACTTCTGAATAACGGCCGTTCTCCGTTGCGAATGCTGTTAAGGACAGCGTTCGATTCGCGTTTGGTTCAATCGAACGCGGAAGGTGTACAGTGATGAACAGAATGGTTACGACACTTTTTTTTTCGTGAGTTTAGGAACGTTTACATTCAGAGTTACGTACCAAAATCTTCTTCTCCGAGGAATATTTTACTCGATCGGCCATTCGGAAACCATTTCGAGCGTTTTCGATCTATTTGTCAAGTAAAATTTTCCTCGGAAGATGTTTCGGAACGTAAACCTGAATCTAAATGCGCGTTCCTAAACTCATTAAAACAAAACGCGCCGCAACCACTCTGTCCATCACTGTACACACATGCGTATCTGTCGTCGAAGAAAAAAGAGGAAAAGAAAAGCGTTCCGCTTTTCTTGCTCAATATCTAAAGTACCGGTCGCGTATCGGTCGATGAATCTCCATTTAAAAGATCTCAATCAGCTATGCGTTGGCCGCTCGTTGAATACCTCCATTGAAGTGTCTACGTACGTCACTTGTGCAAAGTAGTCTATTTGCATATGGCTCTCATCGCCATTCTTGAATTCATTCCTACGTGCAATTTTACTTGCTTCTCGCGCTTTTCATTGTCGGCTGTCCTCGCGTATCTTCTGCCGACGAGGTCGCCGCGTCGGGATGTGCGGGAATAATATCTGGCCCATGAGTCGCGCGCGAACTTATTCTACCGCGTACGAAGTCGGCGCGATGCGCGTGAAATTCGCAACGAGTTTTATTGTGCTCCGTGTATTTTCATGTTCTCGTAAATACGCGGTTTTATCAGACGATACTTTTTGCCACCTCGACCAAATGCCACCATGGCGCGCTGACATTATATTATTTAGAACGTCGACCGCTATAAAAGGAGCCATATCTGCCCTTCTATCTCTTCGTGGTAGTAAAAATATCACCTGTATTAACGTTAACGCCAAGAATATCGGCATTACAGTTTTTTACAGTATCGGGCTTTCCTCAGGGTCTTGAATATATAATTTTTTAGTGACAAAATCCTTTAAAAAATGACAAATGAATGGCAGATGGCGATTTTCATCTTTTTCTATTACTGTATTTTTCATCATTTTAACCATTTTATTTTATAACTGCGTATTTTTCTTTTTTCATTTTTTGAAGTCTATCTCTGGACAAATTTAAAGGAGAAACACGTATCTCTTCGTTCACAAACGTGGATTCTCAGGTTTGTTTTATTAAAATCTTTTGCTCTTTAATCTGGAAAAGAAATAAAATAATGCGTTCGGTGGTTTTATACATTTCTACACATACAGCGTTTTATAACTACAATATTTCACATATAAACGTTTATGATGCTCTTCCAGAAAACATGGATCTTTTTATGTTTATTAGTCGGCCTGAATTTTAATGCAATAAAAGTAATGTATCTGAAAATTTTCTTCAACTAGTTTTAACAACAGATACCCCTTTCGTATCGATTCGAGCGCGAAACGAGTGCGAAGTCAATATTCGTACGACTTTTGTTGACTAGTCATCGTAGGATTGATGCGTCGTTACCTGTAAATGCCAGACCAGGTCGAGTAAGCACGCACGGTACGTTGGACAGTACTGGTTCGTCCGAGGCACGCGATTGCCCCTTCGGACATCCTGTTAAATATTTAAATGCCAGCACGGAAACAAGCCGCTTATTTCGGGACGGAAGATTGCTTTAGACGAGAGAATTTATAAGATTGCCGATCTCCCGTGAATTCGCGTGACTTCCCTCGCGCAATCCGGTCCTCTGGCACGTTGGAAAACGGAGGAGGAAGATGTCGCGCGTTCCATAAATTCTTTATCGATTACAGCTTTCGGCACATAATCGTTAATCTATCTCGTCTACATAATGAACGTCTTATCTCTATGACAGGAAATAAAGTATAATGCGACCATTTGTCTGCAAGTCGTAAGTAAAAAATGTGCTCGTGAGAGTAAAATGCCGCCTGCTACTCGGTATTGAAAGGCAGTTTTATGAATGGGAGAAGGAAAACATTTGTCTTCATGTCTCACAATTGCCTTCCTTGATTTTTATTCCGCACGAATGTATGAATAATTAAAAGGAAACAGTTAACGCAGCCTTAAATGAAGACAATCTTTGTTAAAATCACAATTATAATAATTACTCCAAGAATTTCCATTAAAAAATTGCAATTATAAATATAAAATAAAATAATTATAAATCTCTAAATTATAATATAATCGTCTAAAAATCTAAAAAAACAATAAGTAGAACTGTAAAAACAAACATTGTTAGTCATGTAAAAAAGATGCTTGTCTATTGTCACGGTTTATAAATTAAATAAACTGTTCCTTAATAAAATAAAGAGACAGCATAATTATCATATTATGTTGATTTTAGGTGTTATGGTTTTACAAAATTCATCCAAATAGAGAGCTCCAAAATATGTCTAGTTGGTTGGTTAAGGAAAAACGTGTGCGCGGTGCTTGCTCTGAAAATTTTAACATATACGCCGGTTGGGAACATATGGTGTTCGTGGTTGGCCTACGAATGGCCGAATCACAACCTGCGAGAAGCGTAACGTATCGTGGTAGAAGAAAAACACGAATATCAAATAAAGCTCGTAAATTAGAGAATCCGCGAATTCGGTTTTCGCAAATCTAATATTGATTTAGCGCTGACTATTGTGCGTTGAAATTATCGACAGCTTCTCGTTACATGAAATGTTAGAAGGTTTATGAAACATCAATCAAAGGATTATTGCATAACGTACCTACGTTTTTCATTTTTTTTAAATAATTTTTAAATTTAGGTATACAATAGTGCGCTACGAGAATCGATATTAACAGCTGGAATAGCGAGTGGTTGAAAATCTGGTAAACGGTTTTCGGTTCCTATTTCGGTATTCGAGATACGCAACCGAATCGTATTTGTCTTTTCGACGAATAATCTTATGTCTTTTTGTTATACACAAAAGGATCCCTGGTCGACAATTAAGCGAATGTACGAGACTCAACCTCGAAATGCTTCTAGTCCGGCGATCCCAGGGGACTACGGCGTATCGCGATACGAATAATATTCGGGCGGATATTTATCGGACTAGCAAGATCTCCTCCGCTTTCCTCGGCGAAATATTATCACGCTCGTTCAACCATTGCTTTGTCTCGGGAATTCGCCGAATACTCTTGATGTTTTATTTCGGTGTATCTTCCGCCTGATCACGAATCTGCATTTTGAGGAACCTTGTTTTCGTATCTGTTTCACTATTGATTCCCAGCGGAAATGCTCACCAATCTTTCCAATGCTCTTAGCTCTTCCGCGAGATAGGATGAGAGATCATATTTTTGACAGTACTCACATTACCGCCAGTTAAAATTTAAACGCTTTTTAGAATGTAAAAAGTATAGTTTGCGTTATCTTGATAAATTTTAGTAGAATTCTTAAAAGTCAAATAACAAATAATTGAAAGTCGCCAATTCTCTGAAGAAAAACGATCAAAAAATTCATTTTTCTTCTAATTTGTATTCATTTTCACTATTAGAGTAGATGTATTTTTGCGTTATGTATATTGCGTATTGTATTCAGCTTTTCTATTATATGTTCCGCCGTATGTAATATTTTTAAACTTTGAGAAGTTTATCCTTCGAATGTTTTACTTCCTCAATTCTCGTATCAAGAAATTATCCTTCAATTTACATAAATATTTAATTTTTTTCTCGGTTTTACTTTTCTTTCAATTTTTGAACATCTATGTACATTTAGTCCCACGTTTTTGAACTTTTACACGTAGCTTTTCCCATTTTTATTCTTTACACGCTATTTACGAACGCGTTGTACAAAAGAAACGAAAGAATTAAATCATTAGAAGAATTGTGCGAGATAAAGGAACAGAGGAATCGACAAGTGCCCGAGTAGAAGAATGTTATCCATGTCCCTATCGATCTCACACGATTCAACAAAAACGTTACATCCGTACGCCATGAAGCGTTGAGAAAAACTTGCACGTACCTCGCAAAAAAAAAACCTGGCACTTTTTATTCGGCGAAACTAGTTAATACCACGTTAGGGGCACCTTGTGCGTAGTTTTGGAACACGTTCCAGTACTCTCGTCCGCCGTTTTAGCCGTAATTCTTTTTTTTCTTTTCCTTTTTCAAAGGCGCATATGGTCGCACAAAGTGGACGCGTCAAGTGTATTGAAATAGAGAACTTGAAAGAAGCAAGAGGTTTTTATATAAATAGAATAAGATTTCTGCAAAAGCTTGTCTTACAGAAAAACGATAGAAATATTTTTTCAACATAATTCTTGCAGCTCTCTATTCTTGCTGTTGTGACCATAGTCCATGAATCTAGGAATAGATACAGATTAGTTAGAATTATCAGCGACAAAATTAAAACAAGGCCTTTTTAACAAACACATAAGCCAACACGTGATAAACCACGAGAAGTGCATTTTTAATTAGAATCGCTAAGAGACAAGACATTATCATCATAACATGTTTCCGTACGCAGTTTCCGTAGAAATTAGATAAAACCTTTGTTTTGTCACGTATATGGACGAGAACTCTCGGATTGCAGCGTCAGTTCGTCAGTAATTGACAGTCCACCTGATCTATATACGTCAGCATACATAATCAATCACAAGTATTGTATAAATGCTAATATTAGAATTAAAGTGAAGAAATAAATTCGTTTTTTTTAGAGAAATCTCGAATCTGACACTGTCCTATTTGCTTCAATAGTTTGCTGTCGCTTTATATTTACATTTGCATTTTACAAAATAGCATTACTTTTATATATTTTTAAGTACCGTTAATTTATTTCGTGGAAAATAAAGTTGAAAGTTTCTGTTGGCGTGACGCTCTATTTATATTAAATTCTTCAAATTTTTTTTGGCACAGTTTTCTATTGGAAAATATGTCGGTTTGAAGTTGACGGCGACGTATGATAAATAAGCAAAGAGTATGGACCGCTACCCAGCATAAAATTAATCAACTTCTTGCATCAGCGATATGCAACGCATTTCACGGCATGCATTACTCAACAACTATTGCTGTTCTTTAATTAAAAGTCTACTTTTAAGCTTCGAATGCTGTATGAAGCGCTGTAAATTGAATATCTTGAAGAAGACTATTGACGCAATATATTTTCTGCGTCACTTCTATTGATCATTTCATTAATTTTTATTAGTAATTAGTTCACTTTTATTTCTTGCTTTTAATTTATCTAAGAACGAACAAGCTAGACGGCTATTTAAAGGAAAGACTTTTACATGTTGAAGCAGTTAATTAAAATCGTGAAAGCGAGGGTTAAAAGTGACCTCTATGTTCCTTTTGGATTTCAGCTATTTCGAGAGGGGCGTATGTCTGAGGAAAGGAGAGAGGCACGAGTATTTTGTGATCATCATGAAGACACTCTGGATCGTGGTGGTCATCCTACTCGAGATACATTTGTACTTTACAGGTGAGTTTAAATTAAGGAAAGATATAATTTTATTACATTATTATTATACTATTACAGATGTATATCGCATACTGTAAGATCTTGAATATACAATTATTGAATAAACAGAAAAGCTTGAAAGAGCCACAATTTTTTAATAGACGTTTGGTAAGACTTTTTTCATTAAATTACTATTTGATAAAATTAAAAATGTTTTATGAAACGCAAAATGTAGAAAATTCTTTCTAATTATATGTAGAAAATGCGAGGGATAAAAATCTTAGTTTCACAAAAAACACTATTATTTCTAAAATTTTACATTTATGGTCGCATCAAGAGTGCGCGTTGCTATTTCATTTAGAATTCTTCAGCGCTTTCGGATATTACGCATTTAATTTTTGTCGTGTCAGGCGAATGTCGCATTTTGAAGATTTCATAGGATTAGAGTTAGAAATTGGTGACGAACGACACGCTCATTCGTATTTCTCCCTCGTGCGTCTCCCTCTCGCACATCGTGTGTTTAAGTATAGCGGCTCTCTCCTGGCCTAAATAATTTTGTTTCTAATTCGCCTCCGCGTCGCGCTCTTCCTCGTCGGTATTCGCTTCACGGCGGCATACAATTTTCAACGGTAATGATGCTGCCTGAAGAAACACAGGCGGCACGCCACACTCTTTCGTACTTGCGTTCAGGCGAGTTATTTTCCGTGTCGGCAATGGAAAACACTTAATCCGGCTGACAAGCAATTTCCGGTTATCGTGTTGCTGAAAACCCGCGGCGTACTTTCGCCTCGTTAGCGCTGAACTTTTCGACGGGCGCATCGAAATAGCGACGATCGTCCGTCTCGCGTTTAGTGTCCTTATACATCTTGACGATTCCCTTCTCGGGACATCAAAGCTGTCGGCACGGATATATGTATATATACACCAGCGGACAAATTTACAGAACGCCTCATTTCCGAACGAGACGATGCGGTACTGAAAATTTAGGTCGTCGCTGTAATACCTCCAAAGCTTTAGATCTAATTGAAAGTTTAATTAAATGCACATCGGCCCCTATTACCGGGCCGTTTTACGATTCCCGATTCGGCAAACTTTCTGAAATTGTGCTGGATTAATCTTCCGCTATGTGCGAATACTAATCACTGGTAAATTCAATTTAGAAAATTGCACTAACCCATTTTACTTTGTCTTTGCTCAAGACAGACGTTTAAGATTTAATACACCTATTCGGGCTAATTATTTTCTGCTTCGTTGTGTATTATTTTCGCGAATACATCGTGCCGTTCAGTTTGTGTGGATACAACTCTATTTATACTTACATTCGGAAGGAGACATGTATCGTCGCAATTAAATATTTTCGTTGTTATGCGTGGATAATTCTGGTTGTTTATATGGAAAGAGATATCCCGTGAAAATAGTAAATTCGAGTTCGTAAATGTTGAATTTATAACCGTATACTCGGTTAATTGGTAAAATAAATATACGAACACGAGAATTTAGGGAGTAATCTCTATAGTACGACAAGATTTATATATATTAAATATTTTTATTGTGGTGTCAACTTGTGTTGCATTATTAATTACCAATGTTTGTAGTTATAAATTGCGCGCTATACAAAAAAAATAAAAAATTTTTAATGTAAGAATATTTGTTTTAATTCTAAGATATTACTTTTTCTCAAATTGTACACTTCATTAAAATTATAAAGTTCTCTTATACGATATAGAAATCTCTGTAATTTTTTCACAAAGTAGGAATATCTACTTTAATAGTCCCTCAAGGCGTCAGGCTTAACCGCTCTTTTCTTTTCTTTTCTTTTTTTAATTAATTTTAGCTGCGAAAAATTCGAGTATTTTTCCCGCGGGAATTTCTGGCGAATCACTTTGAGATACTGAATGCTGACGGTGGCAACGATGTTAATTCATTTTGACGAGAAAAGTTGAGTGAAACGCGCGCTACGCTGATCAACATCGAGAGACTGGCCTGTAACAGCCTTTTGTATTATAATATTAACGTCAAATGCAGAATACACTCATGTACAAAGATTCTGTGTTGTCCATCGAGCCATCAGATCGAGCCTTTTTCAATTTGTATTTGAAAAAGAAGCTGAATGTAATATGTCACATAAATTAATTGAGATGTAGAAATTCTTTGTTTTTTCTGATTTTATATATACACATATGTATATAAAATAAATACAAAATATGATAAAGAGGGAAATACACCCACGCACACATATCTTACATTTAATGTTTCTAGCTATAAGTATATCTTTAATAAAAATTTTTTAATGTTATGTAATAAATATTCTTACATAACAAATTAATCTGTATCTTGATTAATTTGTATTTAAAATTTAACTTATAAAAGCCGCAATCTTTTGTGAATTGTATAAATGTACATAAATGGGAAGCTGAAATTTTGTTACGATGCAATTAGTAAAATAAGTCATTTAAACGCGTAAATTATTGCTATGAGAAAATGAGGAATACGATGGCAGTGCGTAATTGGATTGATAGGTCTTATTTACGATACGGTGTAAAAGAGAAAATACTAATGGCGAGTGCATTCCCTCAGTTAGGGTATATTATTAAAGTAAAATGTTCAAACTGCCTAATTGAAACAAAATCAGCTTTCACGATTATATGTATAAAGTATCTGGAATGTTGATTTTCATAAATATTCTTATAATACTCGGAAAATCAAGGTACTATTATAATCTGCAAATAGAAAGTTCTCGCGAATAAAGAGAAATAATCATGATGTATTTCCTCCGCTTTTCAACGTTCAATAAAATAAACAAATGAAGTAAGACTTAAACAATTTAATAGCTTATTACTACAATGAGAAAAATTTCCATCGAATAAATCAATTAAATAGTGTTTCCAATGTTTAACTTTTCCGATTACGTTTTCCGATTAAATTATGGATACATCCGTTGATTGAAAAACCGATCTTATCTTTCATCGGATATACAATTTAATTGGATATATCCATTTGTTATTACGCAATTGGATTATCCGATTATAATTAATCGGATATTTTTTTCAGTGCAAGAATGCACACTACAAATGTCTATGACAAAATCTGTAAGGTATTAATATTATATAAAGTGGTTACGCTGTATTACGTGTCCTTGAGTATTTCTCGTTCTACGTTATTATTTTACGAATACATATTATTCGTTGGTCGGGAATGAACGCATTTGTTCAGTATAACTGAAGTTAAAAAAACCGATCAATAGTTGCGCACTGGGTAGTATCGTATGACATAAACTCCAAGTAAACGAAAATATTGCCATAAACCTGCACGCGACGTGTATATCACAACGTTTTAAAAGCGAACTTTGCATCGTAGACGCGAGGCGTCAAGTTTGAAGCTCGAGCTTTCAACTCGTTGAACAAAAATAGAAGCTCTCCGGATATTTGCCGGCTGAAATCAGGCGGTGGAAATCTTCTTTTTTCTCTTATCGAGGAAATCTGAGATGCGCACAGAGACAATTGCGAACGAACGCGAGAGGCAAGCAGGAGGCGAGGCACAACGCAAGAAAGTTTCCGGCTGAATATCCGCGGAAATTCGCTTTGGTTTGGCGCATCTTGGGCACCGGTAAACGCCTAACCGAACCGTCGTAATTGCCATGACTAAGTTATTCACTTAAGCTACTCGGGCGGCGCTCGGGTTATGCGTTATCGTCGCGACGGTAGCTGCATTAATCTCGGAGCAGGAGGGTGCTCTGTCGTCTCTCGCATTCCCTGCGTCGTGTCCTTCGTCAACCATGGAAATCGCCCTTAATCCTTGATCATAGCCGGCCTTAGAACTAACAGCCCTTGGAGAGACTGATGCTATGGGCGCGGGACTTTCCTAGCACGAGAAAATACGTGGCGTGATTTCTCACATTTTACTGTAGCACTTTAGTAATTTTCATTTAATTGAATCTTCCGGGGGAGACTTTAATTAATCGATCCTATTCTACAATCTGCGCTAAGATCTGAGCACTAAACGAAAAAGGTCGTAACAAGTAACAAAGAGTAGATTTATAGAATTCTTATTTTTGCAATACCGTTGAAGAACTTTTTAGTGCAAAATTGTCAGTGTAACAAAGCATGTGAGCGGAACATTTCGAATATTTTCAAGGTCTTTGTAAATCAAAAGCGATTTTCACGTAGGGAATATCTTGAAAATATATTATAGTAAAAAATATATAGGATTATAGCTGTTTGAAATAAATTTTCAGACTTATAGAATTTACAGCGACGAGAAAAAATGTTAGTAATATTAATTTGTTGATATGACGCGTCGTACGCAGATGTTACTTGGATCGAGCAAAATGGTTTCCTTCTATCTTCAGAAAGCATTGTTGTAATTTATGTCCGCAGTGAGCCAGGCGAAGCATCAGCAGAACTCAAGTGCCAATAATGCAATCGCCCCATTGAATGCCCCGGAGGGTAAAAATGAAGATGTTCCTGAAGGACCAATTGGAGAGGTGCTTGCTCAAAGTGGTACCACGGCAGTCCTGCCGTGCAAAATTTCCGATCCTGGAGCTGGAACGGTAAGAGTCACACGGTTTCCATAACGATAGGTATATATTTTACTTCAGTCCGCTTAACGTTCTTTCGACAAAAAATATATCCATCTATCATTTGTTTCTTTCCCGACGAAAAATAATTGCAATATGACAAATTGTGTCAGTTAGGTAAATCCTTCGTGTTTCTGTCGTTTGCATTGTTAAAAGTAATGTTATAAAAATGGGAAATACGATTTGCTCGCGTTGTATTTTATTAGCAGTATGCAATTTGAAATGGTGGAAATCGAATATTATTTACAAACGTAGCTGTTAATATTGTGCTACTATCGTGACTAATATTGTTTCCAAAATTGATATTTATACATTTATGTAACGAATAAGAATTTTAATTCTTTTTGTATTTATCAATTATAGCGTACAATAGAATTAAAATTCTTATTTGTTACATAAATGATGTCAGTCACATATACAATATGAAATGTATAATTTATCAATCATAGCGTAGGAAAAGAATAAAAATTCTTATTTGTTACATAAATGTCTGAATATCAGCTATTGAAAACGATATTATTCACTGAGGTCAAATGCTTAATTGAAATACGTAAATGAGTAATTCTTCAGGAAATTATTTTTCTGAACGTACATTGAAATATTAATAATCAACATTTTTCCCTGCTCGATTCCTCTCTCGTACCATTTCTCTACCCATCTCAAAAGCCCCTCGTCTTCTTCCATTCACACCAGATTTTCCAGATTTTCATTTCCGTTATACGGACAGGTCCGAACGATCCTCATTTAATTTCCGTTTCCTATCGCGCACATGCCAAGCGCGAGCGATCCATAAAGAAAGGAGTATTCGCTGTTTCTAATATGCTCGGCGTCCGTGTCGTATCAGTGAGACGACCATTCAAATGTAAACCGCCGGGACGTGAATGACAAACGCGAAGATAACATTTCAAATGTCAAAGAAGTTTGTGGAAGAAATATCTTCCATCACGGGCCCCATTAAAGTTGAAGTACAAATTTTCTTCAATACACGATTTATCTCGGCAATCATATGCGGACAATATAATTTCAGACGCGTTTTATCTCCATCGCTTGTGTTACGACAGAAAGAAAATTAAGTGAATTACGCCACACGCCAAGACAACTACATGCGTGACTAATTTCTGTTATCGTATGATGCTGACGTTGATGCATCTCCACACATCGTGTCTACGGGTCTATTCAATGAACAATTACACAATCTGTTCTTTGATAAAAGAATCGTTGTAAAAATATCAAGCAAAATGATATATAGTATTCTTTTTATTTTGTAATGGGATTTAAAATTGCAATGAGATAAGACAGATTCTATTGTGAAGACATTGAAGACTCAGATTTTCTTGCAATAATAAGTACTTGTTATCGCTGCGATAAACGGTGTACAATATTAATGCATGTAAATTAATGTAAGATTTTTTCCGCGCACAGATAATTACATAATAGTGAATACGATTGCTTGCACCAGCGCGCACTGAGCGCACACTAAAGCTTGTTTACAGTCAATTCTTATATTTAACTTTGTCTTAAATACAGATTCAAAGAGTATTTAGCCAAAAAACGATCCTTATGGATGCTATATAAATTACTTTACAGGCTAAGAAATATTTCAAGAGATATTTAAGACAATGCTTAAATATAAGAATTGACTGTAAACAAGCCCTAGTGTGCATTCAGTGCGCACTAACGCAAACCACCGAATTCGTTATAAGACAAAGGCACAGCAGATTATTACTTTTCGTCATTGAGAAATTTGTGTGAAAAAGCGTATTCGTTTTTAAAATATATCTGTAGGAAGCTATTTCTTTCGAGTTGATCTTCCACACGGAGAAAATTTTCTCTTAAAATTTATCCCGAAAATCGTAAACGTGGGACAACATGGCATTTCGAAGAATTTTATGAGAGTTTTTACTAGTAAAATGTATGGTAAAATTTCACAAAACTCTCATAAACTTCTTCAAAATGCCATGTTGTCCCATGATTACATAATTTTCAGAGTAAATTTTAAAAGAAAATTCTCTCCGTGTGGGAGTTTCCTCGACTGACGGAGATCAGCAAAAATTCTAATAATATAAAATAAATACGGAAGAAGAAAATCAACAACCGTCATATCTCGTACGTCTCGTAATCAGGTTTGGCGTAGCGCGTTTTGACGACTATGAACCTCAGGCTTCTCCGATTTGCCGAATTCGCGAGCGAAAGCGCAGAGAGGTAGATATTCTATTCCTTATGGAGATATAGATTGCGTAACCACGCAAATATGTGCGTCCCGTATACGGTACGCGGTATTGAAAGCGGAAACGAACGCGCCATGCTAGAAGTATAAATGATAGGTCGATACGGTATTTTTGCCCGCGAGTTGCGAGCTGTTTGCTTTTTCCTCTCTTTTTTTTTTCTGCGCCCCTCGCTATGTACTTTAATACTGTAGCCGTCGGTCCAGCAAATTGCCCCAGTTTACGGTCTGCAACGGCGCGCCACCGCGGCATAGCGTATGCTCTTTGTCTTATTTAGAGTGCCGTCCCCGTGGAAAATCAACGGACAATCTGCGTAAACGGCGAACGCATCTGCATTCGTGCTTTATTCGCGGTGAAACGCGAGTTATTTTCGCCCATGTCGGATTCAGTAGCGGGCGTGAAGTAGACCGATTTACTCAAACTGCGTCGAAAAAAAAAAAGAAAATCGATATTTATCGTTCGCAAAAATTTCTCCCCGTAGGACACTGTCCGCTTCGTATTTCGTATTTTCCGCCTCTCGACGTTTACGCCAACTCGGCCTTTCTCTTCGGAAAATTGGAGATTACATCCTTCCGCATTGCCCGATTCAGTATTTGGAATGCAATTCTCTCGCGAACTATGCCGGATTCCGTGCTGTTACGAGATGCCTATTACGCCCTCGCCTCCGTGAAGCCGAGGAGCTCGCTGGAGAATATTTTAGAATATTTTAGCGGGTTTCACAGCGTTAAACCGACGGCGCGCCAGATGCTGCGTGACTGTACTCCTCTTTTTCTCTTCCTCCTCGCGAGAGGGGAACGGGAAGAACGAAAGGGCAATCCGCGTTATGTGCATACGCGATCGAGATGGCGGAAACATACCTCTCTCGATACTCGCCGGCGGTATACTTTAGAAATCGGAATGGAATTCGAGAGTCGACAGACGATTCTCTCTGCGCGACAGGCGACGCACGTTCCCGTGAAATTCCGACGGGTCTTCCGTGCCAACATCGCGACGTGAATGAGACGTAAGCCGACTTTAAACGCGCATTTTCCAACACACCTGCTTCATACCGTTAAAAAAAGGGATTTATATTTATATATATACATATAGAATTATATTTGGATCTTATACGGAGTGTGTGAAAAGGTACAGTTAAGCCTTCGATAAAATTGAAAGGTCCTCGATAGCGATTAAATCTCGTTGTTGATGTAGTTTTCATTAAAGCAGACATTTTTTCAAAGAAAAATCTCCTTGCATTGCAACTCCTTGGGTGCGGTTTCCGCGTTAAACACTGAACCTGCAGCATCTCTGCCTTTAGCATTTAATAAATTATATTTTTACCAAGAAACGGGGATTCTTTTGAGGCTTGCACGTTTCTTTCGCAGAAAGGACGGACGTTCGCTTTGACACAAATCGAAATTGCGTTTCAATAGTTGAGAAACAAATCGAAACGCGCTGCGTGTCAGTGCTGAGGCCCGCAACCGCCGTGAAGGGGCATGAAAACTTGGGAACACTCTCGGGGGATGTTTATACGAACTCCGCGGAGGGTTTACTCTTCTTCCTTTGATTTCTGGATTTTACAGCTCCGCTGGGCACGGAGGGCACGGACTACAGCTCGTAATTTACTTATAGCGAGAGTATTTTAGGTTTCCTCCCACTTCACGCATTGCTAAAGTTATGTACAAATTTAACGGCAGCAAAGTGATTTACGTTTTTAACGTCGCTTCCTTTTCAGGACTTCGTTCCTAATCAGATTACCGTTTTTGGAATTGATTTCTCTCGTTGTCGTTCGATTACGCGGATAAATTATACCGATTGAGAGCTTGCACGAAAACGAACGGTCTTAATTAAAATATTCAAATGCATTCATATATTAATCTCGAATAAAATTTTAGAAAACAACTCGATTTAGTGCTCAATCGCTTATTATTTATATCAGATAAATATTGTTTTTTTTTTTTGGTAAGTTGATTTTACGGAAGAGATAACTGACGGCAAATTTATCCAGACTAAATATAAAATAAATAAATTTATCGAAAATAAATATAAAATAATAAATATGTGTGGAGATAAATATATGAATATACTGACTGAATGTCAATAATGTATCAATCACACGCGTTACAGTAGAATACAAAAAAAAAAGCTGCTTCGATTTGATGAAAATCTGAAAAAGTCGGATCCGAAGTCCTGAGATGTTTCCGTCGAGTTTGCGAGATTGATATGTTTATTTATCGCCTTTCGCTCCATCGACCGATCGCTCGCTGGCGAGATTTTTGTTCTGGACGATACAAAAGTTGCAAAATCTAAGGCCACTTATGCAAAACTCCCTGTCACGAACCGCATATAACCTCGGCGGATCCTGCGCGTCGTCGTCGACCATGAATAAAAGATGAATTCATGCGCGTCTTGTGTACTACAGAAATACAGAAACAAGAAACAAGGCTGCCCCAGGCTTCTTTATGCCGCAGCCAGGGCCAAGAGAAACAAAAAAAAACGCCTCGCTATCGCGGGTGGTAAAAGGGCGGGGGTTGAAGAAAGGGGGGGGAGCAAGAAGTGCATTACATCTTGTCTACGTAACTGCCGTCGTACGGAAGTTTATCTTTTCCGCGGCGAAGTAACGCGTCGTGTATTCACAGTGATAACCAGATACAGGCGTCGTAACATTTGTTCAAACGACGAATAAACGGCGGCTGTATCCATCTGAATGTCGTCGATGACAGAAATAGCACGTAGTAATGACTGGCAAATGAATTTAAAGAACGAATC